CTTCCTAGTGCTGTGATGTATTGTATTGGGGTGCAGCTGCACGCTGAGGTGTCCACGTCCTAGTGCTGTGAGGTGCAGTATTGGGGTCCTGCATGCTGAGGTGCAGTATTGGGGTGCATCTGTGTGCTGAGGTGTCCACTTCCTAGTGCTTTGAGGTGCAGTATTAGGATCCTGCACGCTGAGGTGTCCACGTCCTAATGCTATGAGGTACAGTATTGGGGTGCATCTGTACACTGAGGTGTCCACATCCTAGTGCTGTCGTGTACTGTACTGGGGTGCAGCTGTACGCTGAGGTACCCATGCTTGTCTTCTCTTTGAGTTTCCTGGGTGGCAGGTGCCCCCTGTGTTCACAATCCTGTGGGGATTCCATGCGTCTGGGGGCGCAGAATTTCCCAAAGACACACAGCCTTTTAGGGCTAACGGTGGTGAAAACAAATTGCTTATTAACCGCAGAGCTGCCGGCTTGCCCCTCACAGGCCATCTCTGTGTGGTCACTGTGGGCAGTGGGGTGACCCAGAGAGCCTGGGCCAGGAGCCCCCAAAGACCTGGAAGGGGGACGTGGTTCGCAGGCCCACCTGCAGTGTCCCTGGCGGCCGGGACAGCTGCTCCACCAGGCTGGGGAGAGGAAGCACCAGCCACGGGCACGACATGCTTCAGGAAGGGGAACACTCGCTGGGGTCATGCAGGGGCCCCTTTTGAGGACAGGGTCTCCCCCACACCAGGGCAGCTACAGATTCAGGCTGCTGAGGGACTCGGTGAGACCGGCAGGGGTCTCTAGGTAAGGGCCACACTGGTGGCCTAGGCCCCTGACTGGTCCACCAGACAGCTGGCCTGTGATGGCCAGACCATGAGTTGAGTACAAGGCCGCCTCAGTCACTGACCTGTGAGCCCTGGGCTTCCTGTCATTTAAGACACAGTATGTCCGATGGCAGTGGGGACCCCCACCCTGTTACCCCTGGCCTCGCTCACCAGCCAGGCTGAGACACGTGGAGTTCGTCTCATTTCACATTAGTCTTTTATTGTAACCATTCTGAATGCAGTCACTTTCCCAAAAGAATAAACCATGTAATGAAGTCAAGGAGTTACACCAGAAAGGAGGAGTTGTTTTAAAAAAAGGCAACAGAATAGAAATGGCACAAATGAGCACTGTGTGTCCATCGAATGAACTGTGCTGGCGTGAGAACTCGGGGGTGACCCTGAACTCCACGTGGAACGTGAGCACTGGGCCCGGCGAGGTGGACACGGGCAGGTGGACTCCACCCTGCACAGAACAGGCCTCCATGTTCTCATTCCTTAAAGACTGATGGAGTTGAAGAAAAACAACACAAATTATCATCTGGGATCACCTCTGACAGGGGGCCTCAGGAGCAGCAACTTTGACCAGAGTGTCTCTCACCCTGGTGAACAGCAGTGACACCACCACAGCCGTGGCCTGGATGGCGGGACACACAGGTCCTGTCCACGTCAACAGGAGAAGTGCCAGCCAGCCCTCAGTGTGTCACTGCCCCACGTGGACAGGAGGCCAGTGAAGCCCTGGCCGGCCCTCAGCGTGTCACTGCACTGCGTGGACAGGAGGCCAGTGAAGCCCTGGCCGGCCCTCAGCG